CCGCGCATTCGCTCCCTGGACCGCCCTTCTTTACTTTATCTTTCTTTTTGGTTGCCACGGAAGTGAGCACCAGTAGGGCAAGGAGGGCGAGCAGGAAGGCTCGGTGCTGCATCTCGCTGGCTGCCGGCGCTGCTTTGCTCCCTCCTGCACCTGGCCCGGCCCGCTCCGGCCTGTGGCCCCTTTTGTCTCAGAATTACTTTTAAGTAATGAGTAGGAGATAGTATTTTTCCATCCAAAATTTAACCAAAATGATCCTGTAAATAAATACATGTGAATATATTGTTGTTGTTAGGTGCCGCTGAGTTGACTATGACTCATAGTGGCCCTAAGAGCAATGGATCTGAACCTTGCTCTATCCTGGGCCATCCTTATAATCTTTTACACACTTGAGCCCACCACTACAGTCACTGTATTAATCTATCTTAAGGGTCTTCCTCTCTTTTGTGGACCCTCTACCTTTCCAAACAAGCTATATTTTTCCCAGGTCCCTTCTAACAAGGTGTCCAAAGTATGTTAAAAGTTTCACCATCCTGCCTTCTAACCATACCCATTATCTTGTGAAAATGTAAATGAGAAAATACTTTGAGGGGAAAAATGGCACTATATTCTTTCAGCTGCAATCTTCACATCTTCTTTAACCCAATAACTAAACCTCTCCTGTCATAAACCATGTACATTTGACTAGTATTTAATGTTCATCTTTAAAATTCCATGTCTGTAAGTCACATTAACCAAAAGGAAACAACTCGGGTGTCAGTTACTGACTGAGAGAGAAGCTACTTAATGGAACATGTATACTTTGAAAGTTGAGGAATATCCTCCAGATGGAGTAATACAATGACTGTAATGGAGGGCTCAAGTATTTAAGAGATGCTGACCCAGGATATGGCAAGGTTCAGATCCATTATTCTTAGGGTAACTATGAGTCATAGTCGACTCAGTGGCACCTAACAACAACAATATATTCACATATACTTATTTACAGAACCATCTTAATTAATCTATATGTGCCGACGAGTTGCTATGGATGAAAAATTACTATCTCTTCCTCATTACTGGAATGCCGTTTTTTAAAAATGAAATTGAATAAAAATGATCTTACAGCTTCTTTTTATCCCATCTAGCTATATTTACACAGCCTGAATCAAAGGATACTTTTGAGTGTGCTTTAAATTCTGCTACTTCAAGATGATATTTTCCATTTTGTTTTGAGAAGTAATGATTCAGTTAGAATGACCATTTGTTGAGGAGAAAGGGTCACAGGAGAAATCCTTAACTAGTGAGCCTCTAGGGGAGATAATTTTTCAGAGTCTATTAGAGAGACTTAGTCACGGGGTTCTGAATGCAGAGTTCAGCATCTTGTGGAGAAAAAACCAGGAGAGAAGGCAGGCAGTCTGGTAGAGAATCCAGGACAATGTAGGTGAGTGGGCTAGAGAAATTCCTGAGTCATCATCATTACTAGGTGGAATTTGTAGAAATTTCTGCTGGATGAAAAGGATAT